AAACAAAACAAAACAAAAATACAAAAATATTTAGCTTTAAGAGGGTTAGGCCTACCCTAAAATTAAGGAACGCTCGACCTCGACACGTGATATCGAAATGGGCGAAATCGCCTCTTGATATCACTAACTCTCTTGACTCTTGACTCTTGACTGAGTGGTAACCCTTCCGACTGATGAACCCTGATTCTTTCTTTCTTGGACGTTGGATTCAAACTTGGGTGCCATCAATACACCAAATAACTTTAGGGAAACCAGAAATTCTGAAAAAGGCTGATTCGGAAGCTGATATCTCTCCTGCCTTTGGAAATGATACCAGCTCTGGGATCTTGTTCTCCAATACCAAAGATACTTTCCTGATGACTCTACTGACAGATGGTTGTGAAACCCCACATCTGTCTCCATCGTCAAGCTGCATGCTTCAAGTTGCATAAAATCTTAAAGTAAGAGACATCTGAATCCCAGGCGGGATGAAGTGGTTAGTGTGCGATCCATCCAATTCATGATGCAACATGTCAACAATGAAGCAAATCCCCGTGTGGTGAAATGTGAATCTCCGCTATAGCTTCTCATCGTCATACACATCCAATGGATTGGTTCTGTCTCGAAATACGCGACGCTCAATGTCAGTACTGTAGTACGAGTTCTAGCAACACGCATGAAGGCAGCCTGGGTATTGGGAAACTGCCTTTGAAGGGAACTTGAGGCAAGCAGAGAGATGTCTTAATTTAAGACTCTTTGACAGTAGATTTAAGCAAGTGGCTGAGCATAAGATGCTAATAGAAACTGGAAGGAACTTAAGTGTCATGCTGAGGCGTTCTCTTAAGAAGTGTGCTTATCTTAAGGCAAGAAATATTGCTTAAGCAAATAATAGAATACGGCCCCAGATCCGCATGTTGTGCATGGCACAAAATCATACCATATCCAATGCCCAGACGGAACTCATTGAAACTTAGTATATAGAGAACTTGGGGAATTTAAGGAAGTGGGGGAAATGCCGGGATGCACCTTCTATAACTGATTCAAAATTCCAGCGATGTGTTTCATTTAAACGTCATGGAATAGAGGTCGAATAACTTCAAATACAAAGACGTGAATCTTTCACGGGTAGCAGCTAGTTAATAATATTTAACCAGATAATGTATGGAACCATAAATATATAATGATAAAGATTATTAAATAAATAATTAAGTAAGTCAATATATAGATATAATTGTATAAAGTATAGGTTAAGAACTTGTATACAAATATCTATAAGTAGGAATTGTATACAAGCTCTTAACCTCTT